GATGTACTCAACGATGCGGACCTTGAGCGTACTCTTCACGGCAGCACCGTCACGCGGTGCTCGGGTGACGCCCAAAATTCGCTGCAAAGCACCGTGTATAGCGTGGTATCCACAATTCCCGTCGGCCGGTACGTCATGCACTTGAGCCCCGTCTGGGCTGGTATACGTACGACGGGACCCGGCTTTTTTTTCAATGCAGTTCACCTTGGGAAGGTCGGTCTCCAGGCGCATGCTCTCCGCTACAGCGCGGCCGAGTGTGTGGGCTGGCGGGAGACGCTCCACAACTCGGCGTACCCCGAAGACGGTGGGTGTGTCCGTAGCATCAGCAGCAGCAGCAGCAGCAGCAGCAGCAGCAGNCCCCGTCTGGGCTGGTATACGTACGACGGGACCCGGCTTTTTTTTCAATGCAGTTCACCTTGGGAAGGTCGGTCTCCAGGGCCATGCTCTCCGTTACAGCGCGGCCGAGCGTGTGGGCTGGCGGGAGACGCTCCACAACTTGGCGTACCCCGAAGACGGTGGGTGTGTCCGTAGCATCAGCATCAGCAGCAGCAGCAGCAGCAGCAGCAGCAGTAGGAGTACCAGCAAGCATGGTGCAGAGGCGAAAAACCCGCAGGAGAAAAGCGAACTAAAAAAGTTCATCCCACACCTGCTGGCTGAGGTCTGCTGGAGCTGGTCTGCTGCTACAGCAGCTGAAAGAGGTAGTCTGCGAGAGTGGAACTCCCTCCCCGTGTTTTTTCTGCGGAGGGATTCAGCTCTCTGGTGTCCCCGGCTCGCGGGCGGCCACCGTTTCGCGCGAGCTATTCGCCCTTTCGAGCCCTCATTTTCAGTGCAGATTTCAAAAACAAATTGTGCGACAGGAAGAGGAGCAGCACTCTGACCGACACTCAGGAGGCTTGTAGTCCCAAAAGGGTTAAGGAAACGGCACATCTAACTCTGAAGTAGGACACTACGGTAGACGTAGGCACGCTAGTGTACGTAGACGCTGACTTTGCCAGCAAGGCCACTGACCTTAGATCAGTTTCTGGAGCATTAGTTCTTGTAGCTGGCTGTCTTGTGTCTTGGATTTCTTGGACGCAGATATGTGTCTCACTGTCAACTTCTGAGGCAGAGTGTATTGCGATGGGTGACGGTGTTAAGGAGGCTCTCTTTGTGAACGGGATGCTTCAGTTCTTGAGACCTAGTGCGAAGACTCGGAAAATTGACGTCGTTGAGGACAACGAAAGAGCGATTGCGCTTGCAGAGAATCCGCTTAGCTCGAGTTGGAGTAAGCACATTGACGTGAGGCACCACTTCCTTAGGAATTTGACGGAGGAGGGCGTGATCGAGGTCACCCATGTCCCAAGCAAGGAGCAGCATGCTGACATCCGAACAAAGGCTCTACCGAGAAACCTTTTTGAAGTTCACCGTGACTTTGTCCTTGGCTCAGTAGCTGAGAAGTAGAGATCTGAGTTAGTATCTGATTTTGTATTTTTAGGTCTTGTCGAGACGACAGCCCCAAGGGAGGGTGTTCGTGAATTGTGGCTGTAGTATCGAATGTATGACGTGTATTGCGGTGTAGTAGGTGATACTTGGTATTGTAACGAAACTTAAGACAAAGATCAGTAGATTGCAGCGAGTAGATTGCAGCGAATAGATATATTGCTGAGAAAAAGCTGTAGCGAGAAGCCATGGGGAGCGCAGCCCACCGTGCTCACTCNCAGGGAGGGTGTTCATGAATTGTGGCTGTAGTATCGAATGTATGACGTGTATTGCGGTGTAGTAGGTGATACTTGGTATTGTAACGAAACTTAAGACAAAGATCAGTAGATTGCAGCGAGTAGATTGCAGCGAATAGATATATTGCTGAGAAAAAGCTGTAGCGAGAAGCCATGGGGAGCGCAGCCCACCGTGCTCACTCCACCTTGCCGACCTGTCTCTCCGGGCAAGTTCTCATTAATACACCACATATTTCTCCAGAAGTCACGAGTTTCCAACANCATGGGGAGCGCAGCCCACCGTGCTCACTCCACCTTGCCGACCTGTCTCTCCGGGCAAGTTCTCATAAATACACTACATATTTCTCCAGAAGTCACGAGTTTCCAACAGAGGTCGCTCCCTCCCGCCGGGTCGCAACACAACAACAACAACAACCAACCGATGGACCCACAGAGACCCAATCAATATCTCTCCTCTCGCTTCCTCCGCCGAAAGCTAGCAGCAGCAGTAGTATAGGGCACACCCTGCTCCCGTCCCGCTCTCGCTGTGTGGTGTGTGCAACACACGCTGGTTGGTGGGACTCCCTCTCTCTCCAGAGAAAATAAATAGGCGAATAAAAGGCCGGCAGCGTTGAACAACAACAAACAACGGAAACAACAACAACAACATCATCAGCGATGAACCCCCGACCAACCAAACGTTCCTCGCTTCCTCCGCCGTCGCTAACAGCACTATGTGTGTGTGTGTCCCGCCCCCCTTGTCCATGTTCCCTGTCTCTGTGTAGTGCGTGTCTTGCCAGTAGCAGCAGCAATGTGTGCAGCACGGCAGTGCGTCGTGGTTTCTTCTTGCGTGCGTGTAGTTTGTTGCCCAGAGAAAAATAAAAAATGACGACGTCTCCCGGGGATGCGTCCATGTGACATATATATTTGTACAAACGGTGTGCTAT